TTTGTTGAATATGACCAAATTTTTGTTATCTTTTGGAATAAAATGAAAATTGATTCTATGTTTTGTTAAAAGAATTTTTAATCCTTCATCTATTCTCAAAAGTAGAGCAAATAAAGGAAGTACTTTGGTTGGGAAAACGGAAATTACAAGTTTAAATAAAAGTTGGATATTTAATTTGGAGAAAGCAGTAAGGTGCTGCTTAGGAGAAAGCAGCACCTTACAGTATAAGGTACACGGAACAGTATATGGATATGAGTAGTAGTGAAAAACTAGTAAAATTTAAACGAAAATAGTGTTATCAAGATTTGCTTATAATATATTTATTTTTTCACTTTATTGATGTACCATATATCATTTGCATAGTTAGGTATATTTATTTAGTGCCTTGCTATCTTAACAAGATGGATCGATTTCAGAATGTAATTTCTGTCAGAAAGTAAATAAAACTATTAATCCTATTAAACTATTGGGTAGAAATTTCTGGATATCAGTCTACCAACTTAAAGGCAAGAATACTCAAAATGATATTAAAAATATTTGTGGTAAGTCTCGAATTGGATACGATTAACTTGAGTTCAGTAACAAATCAAATCAAATATAAAATATGACTAAACAGAAGCAGTATAGCAGTTACAAAAATAATTTGAATTAAAAAATTTAAATTAAAATTATAAGTTCGTGCATTAAATTTTTTTATAAACATTAAAAAAATTAAAATGTTTCCAACAGAATTTCTTGCAGTACTGGATCTATTCAAGGAATTTCTTATTACTTTCGGCATATAGCTGGTAATAGGCTGACGATAGCTTGGTAGATATCACCGTAGATGATTCAAAATATTGTGAACTTAAAAGTTGTCTACCTAATCTCGAATTTTTGCAGAACTCTATAAAAAAAGTTCAATTGTGACAAATCGCATAATTTTGGAACCCATCATCTTCAGGCCCATCACAACTGGAGACCAAATGTCTAAATACCATAGCATATTCTGGATTCAAGAACTTCACAATTTTGTGGCTGTCTATTGCCTTTGATAAGACAATATTGTGTATTAACAGTTCCATAAAGTAAAAAACCGCATCGGTTTAGACAATTCGACGTGAAACATCGACAATCAAACCCAGTACCTAAACATTGTATGTTCTACACATTGCATTGCCAATTGGTTTCAGTTCTTATGGTACCAGAATTTTATAAGAATGGAGAAGCAAAATATGGCTTTAGTTATTGTGCTTGTTTTACAAGGATGGATATGTAAGATATGTTCAAATGCTATCCGTGCCATGCAATGGATGAACTTAGTTCTTCTTCAACACTTTCATTTACAGCAATAATATTTCATAATAATAACAGCCGTATTTCATATTTATGTTTTTATAAATTTAGTCCTTTTAAATATTTACTCCACCTTTAGTGAACAGAGATGCTTAACTATGTGTATTATTTTTTCTTCGGTGAAGACAATGCACAAAATATACATACTACTACCGGCAAGCTTTAAGCATAAAATATCTTAGATACAGTTTAATATATTTTACTGAAATAATACTGACCCATCACGACAACGTGAGGAATATTACTTTAAGTACTATTTCACTAATGCATTGCTTTAATTCAATAATTGACCGTGACAACATTGGATGATCCATTGTAATAAGTGTACCATTTATAAAATATATGATATTAAATCATTGAATTTGTGTAAATATTTTTTGAAGTCCAGATTATCATTTAGACAGAATAGTTCTGACAAATCAAGTCTGTCTCGGGAATGTGATCAACTCAGACCGTTTCCATTATTTGCTGTTAGACACTTACTAACAGTGATGAGAATGTGCTAAGAGCATTCGAGAGAAAAATTCTTCAGAAAATTTATCGTCCCTTACGAGTTAGCAACGAGTATCGAATTATATGAAACGATGAACTGTATGAGCTATATCGAGACATTGACATAGTTAAGTGCATAAAAATTAAAAGGCTTCGCTGGCTTCGTCATGTCATGCGAATGAAAGAAAGTGCTCCGGGTAAAAAGGTGTTTGACGGTACCAGCAGGCGTGAAACGCGATAGAGGTTGTCCGCATCTTCGGTGGAAGGATCAGGTGATCAACAATTTGTAGGTGCTTGGTACTAGCAACTGTCGACAGCAAGCCCCTGATTGATTTGCTGGCTAGCGGACGCTACTCGACGCAGTCAAAGATGACTCACTTCTGTAATGATCAACTAAGTATGTAAGTCATGCTAGATTTATCACTATAGTCTTATGCAAACTATCTTGTCTTAAACTTACAATGGTGAATACAAAACTAACTAACTCAAACTTAGTTTAGAATTATTATCAATTATAAATTATACATATGTCCCTTTTCTCTTATTACAAATAGGGACAATTGATGGAAGAAGTAATAATAACATGATAAAGTTATAGTTTTTGAGAGAATCTAAAATTTATATAGTACTTTGGGTCTAATTAGTGTTTTATAAATCTATGTACCTATTTTCACGCTAAACTTAACATGTACTAATGGTTTCAACGCCTTCATAATTAAAGTGCACACCAGTTTTTTGATTTTCATTTTATCTTCCGTACCATGTTTTGGTACTGCTGAAAAAGCAGAAAGATTGCAGCATACATATTGATATAACGAGCTTCTTCAATAAGTATTCTTCTATCCAGTATGGACCTATGCCACTCAGTTGTGAAGCTTAGCCTCAACTTTTAATATCGAATTTTTTTAAAGACTGTAGTCTAAAATTTTACGAGAAGTTGTAGTTTACTTACGGTTAAATCCATAGTGACCTCAAGATACCTCAAGTGAAAGAAGAAGTTAGAAATGTGGCCGAAAAATATGATACACAGATATTGATTCACACAAATATTCTTGGTCCGACTTTGGTGTTGTCCTCAAAGTTTTTTACAAGATAAAAGAAATAAGCAGAGAAATATACCTTATAAGTGAATTATGTGCACCATCATTTTTCAAAAATATTGTAAAATGGTCTTGACAAAATACAAGTCAAATAAAAATTAAGTAGATCTATTCTAGAGTTTCTTTTCGCAAAAACTTAAAGTGGTTCAAGATAGAAGAAATGCATGTTATGAAATTCCTTTACTAATCTTCACTGTTCCTGTCGTTTGTTCTCAGCTCATCCTCAGTTTCATTCTCAACCATTTTAGTACTCAGCCACTATTGTAAATAAAAATACAGAGTGACTTAGCTTTTTTTATCGTAAAGTTTTTATTTATCATTAATTTTTATTTATTATTAAATTTCAGTTTTTTTTCTTTATAAGTAATTTTATTATTTTTTTATTTTAAATTTACGATGCACAAAAAGAATTCTCAGACAATTATAATAAAACATTTATTTTTCATTAATTTGTATATATATTTTTGTTAGTTTTAATTCTATTTTGCAAACGTCAATATGTAGTGAATCAATTACTTTTTGTTTGTTTTTGTTATGCGGCTTATGAGAATAAATAAATATATTAAATATAAGATTTAAAAAAAAAAAAATATTGTGAAAAATATCAATTAAATAAAATTAATTGAACTTTAAATAATTTTGTAAGCAAAATTTGCTCGACAAATAAGTGAACAATGAATGAATTTTCAATACGGCAAAATACAAAAAAAAATAAATTATTATGTTTTTGTATATTTTTATACAATATTTACAGTTTATTATATATTTAAAAAATTTGTTTAAACAGATACAATTTTAGTCTGTAAGTTTGTAAAGTTCTTGTTTAAACATTTAATTTATTTAAAATATTTTTATGCAAAATTCTTTATAATTTTTGTAGTTATTAATTATTCTTTAATTTTACTCTTATTGTGTTTCATATTTTTGTATGTAATATTATGAAAAGTATCTTAGAATTAATACTTATTTTTGTTTTTTTTTGTTTTTTAATTTTACTTAATATTCTTTAATATCATAGTTTATCAGAAATAGAACATCATCTAGTTTAAAAAGTCATCAAATTTGAATATAATAATTAGTTTCGTATATATTGTAGTATGTATTATATGTATTGTAACTATGTAATGATGTACCTAGGCTTTAAAAATACTTGTGAAAGTGGAGAGATGTAAGTATGTAAATTTATTCATTTCTACAGTTGTTTAAGAAGTATTAAAAAAAATTAGTAAAAGTATCTGAAATATTTCATATAAAATAAAATAAAATGACAAATAAAAAAACAAAATTAAAATTATGTTAAATAAAATGATTTTTTTCTTACTTGAGAATTCAATTTGTTCTGAGGTTAGTAAAATTTTTTGTTGATGTTTTTTTTTGCAGTGTATGAAGTTTTTGTTGAATGATTTTTAATTTAATTTTGTATCCTTTCTCGTCTTTTTTGTAATAAATTTGAAAATTGTTTTACAATTTACCATTTCCTTTTCTCAATGCTTTTCAAATATTTCATTTCTATCTTTTCTATGGAATATTTTTGTATTTTATTTTTTCCTCTTAATTTTTGTTTTATGTTCTATATTTTATGTTATGTAAAATTCTTGCTTTTCGTATAGAAATGCAAATAAAATTATTTTTGGTTTTTTTTTCTCAGTAAAATGTTTTACATTATTTCAATATTTTTTTTTTCATTATTAAATTTTGTAAAACAAATATAATATTTTAAAAATTACAGTATTTATATATCATTTTATTCTGTTTATTTTGTATTTTTTTTTTTAATTCGTATATAAGTAATACTTTTTATTTAAGTTAATATTTAATAAAATTTTAATGCTCCTTACACACACGTCTTTATTTTTGTTTTGGTTTTTTTTTCTTTTTCTATTTATATTTAATTTAAAATACAAATAATTTCATTGTTGTTGTTTTATTTTAGCTCCTTTTAGCAACTTTTAATGTATTTTCAATATAAGTTTTTTTTTATTTGATTTGTTTTCTATTTAAATTTAAATATTTTGCAACTATTTTCTTTAATGTTATTTATATATGCTATTTTTTTATTGAAAATTATTATAATAAATATTTTATTTTTATTTAATTTTTTATGCATTAATAGTTTTGTAAAATTTAAATCAATCTTTCCTGTTCTTAAATTTCTTGGGCTTATATTAGTTTTTTCAACTCAAACCACTGCTCAACTCAATTTAATTAATTAAATTAAGCACGACCTTTGCGGGCACCTGAAATAGATAAAAATATATTTATTTTAAAACCAATTTAAAAATATAATAAGCGAGCATATATAATTATTATTAAGAATTTAATATGCAACGGTTGGCAAAATGTTTAAAAATTGAAAAAAAAATTTAAACTAAATAAATTAATTAATTAAATTAATATTAATAATACAAATTATTATTATTATAACTTTTAAAGATAATTCTAATCTCAGTTTACCACAGTAAATTAATTAATTAAATTAATATTAATAATACAAATTATTATTATTATTAATTTTGATGATAATTCTTATCTCAGTTCACAAGGAATAAAAAAACGAATACTATTGATATAATAATAACAAAACTTATTTATTGTTACAATCTTATTATAATCTTAATCAGTAGTTTTTTAACTGGATATGCTTCTATTAAATACTACCTTTATGAAATGGAATTAACGCTTACAGACAGCTCCAGATTCTAGGAAATTTATATGAAACTTTCGCCTAACTTTTCTGCCTATGTACTGCAATTACCCATAGTACTTCTAATGTCTTTCTATGAATTGCATGAGATTTTCAATCTAATTGGCAGTTTGCTGTGTAAAAACCAACTACCAAAAGCAACTAGAGATTATAATGAGTACCAATCAAAATCCATGAATTACTTCGGAAACAAAAAATTCTTGAATGGAACTAAATGAAGAAGATGTAATTTTAGGCTATACGAGTTATATATATCTAGATCACACCGATATGTGTTAACATCTTCTATACTTCTTGTTTTTTTATGCTATTGTAATTGTAATATTTACCTAATGAATTCCAAATTGAAGGTCTTATATCAGTAATGCTTAAGAGGGATACATATAATCCACTATAAAGTTAATCAATTTCAAAAAATTGAGAATTATAAATCATCGATCTTATTATTTATTTCTACATAAACATTTGTAATATACAATACTGTAATTAACTATGAATGTTCTGGAACATGTTCATTTTATTCAAGTTTTTTGTGCACTTTATATTAAAATTTCGTTACACCTAGTTTCTTAGCTTATTTATTATATATATCAAAACCATCTAACTGAATGAGAATTAAAAATTATTTTCTTTTGTTACTTCTTTGTATTTTAAAATTTGAACCATGAAATAAAATATATGTATATATCATTTGCACAACTTTTATTAAAATTTCATTTCAGTTGCGAAGCAGACTTCACAACTTCATTGACCTTTATTCAACTTCTTTATATTCTACTTTATAAAAAAAAAAACGGACTTCTTTAAATTCTTTTCTCTTAATTTTACTAATATGGTATTGAACTGTTAAGTGCTTAGAGATACCGAGGCCATTCTTCTTGTGCGAACTTGAATCAATAAAGTTTCAGGTGCAATGATGGATTAGAACAGATCACAGGATCTGTTGCTAAGACGTGGATTTTATCAATTCTATATGTTATTTTTTCTTAAATTAGTGTTATAGTTACTTTATAATTATATGAGAATTTATTATAATTTCGCTACAACAACACAAAACAATTATTATTCCTGTAGATAAAAGGATTTTTAGTTTATAGAAATTTATATATATTAATTACTTAAGATAATTAATATTATCGCTGTTATATAATGCAGTTGCTAATATTCTTCTTGAAGGTCCAAGGATGGTTTTTACGGCGAGAAAGAATCGAATTATTGCTATTCAATAAAGTTCTAATATAAAAATGAATCGCAAAATAAGTTGGTAAGCGCATAACTCAACAACGCCTGGACCAATTTAGTCAATTCTTTTTTTTAATATGTTCGTTGAAGTCCAAGGATGGTTTTTATGGCGAGAAAAGAATTGAATTATTGCTATTCAATAGAGTTCTATCCTTTATATAAGAACGAAAAAATGTGTTGGTAAGCGCATAACTCAACAACGCCTGGACCAATTTAGTCAATTATTTTTTAAATGTTCGTTGAAGTCGAAGGATGGTTTTTACGGCGAGGAAAAAATCGAATTATTGCTATTCAATAAAGTTCATATTACATTACATACACTCACTGTTGTCTAAGCAACATCATCAGTATTTCAAATATTTCAAATTTCAAATATAATAATTAAATACTGTCCTAATATTTTACTGAGTTTTCTTTTTATATCGTGTTTTGTGCATGTGACACAATTTATATTCGATATGCCTCCTGTAAGACGATGTAATTTAGGTAGAAGAACCCGAAATGCTACAAACCAAACAAATTCCCGATCTAATCATACTGCACAAGAACGTGACGACCGAAATGAACTTGAAAGAATTTGGATATCACAAACGCATGAAGAGCGAGCGCGACATCAACTCATATTCGCGCAAGTTTGGATCGAGCTGCTTTCAGTTTCAGGTTTGAACCCTAAGTTCGTCTCTTAGTTTCAAACCCTCTGGCAGACATCCCAGTCGGGGTTTTTAGTGTATCTCAGAAGGGTGGTTCTTGGAAGAGAAGATACTTTGGTCACTCGAGCTGAACCCCACACACCAGGGTGACTGTTCTGTTCAGTAGATTTTTTTGCCCCGACTATAAAATAGGTAGGAACAAAAAACTGTCTGTCTGGTCCGCTAGTACATAATAAATTCAGTGATAATATAGTATGTAATTTAAGGTTAAATAACAATAAAAAGTGTAAAATTTCATTAATAATAGATTAACTGTTGATTGTAATAAAAATAAATCCTTTTCACTATGTATGCAAAAGCGAAATTTGATGCAAAAATTGAAGTTTTGTATAATTTAATTCAATTTCTTGTTTAATGAGATTAAATACGCTCCATAACACGATACGTCGATTTTGTGATTAATTAATTACTTATGCAAATAGCTTCAAATATCCTTTCGCGTCGAGTCACAAAGCTCAATATGGCAGCACTTGTGTTGTAATGTCAATTAAAATCAATGACCAATTCATTCATTTTACTTAACTGAAATCGTGTTTTACTTCTGTACTTTATTACAGTAAATGCGCTCACCTTTATCCTTGTTCTTACGCTGTTCTTTGGCGCTCTTATCCTTGGATTTGCCTGGTTTGCAATTCTTTTTGATGACACGTGTTGCTTCACACGATGGATCGCTGGTTGCTTTCAATTTATCAGCGCGTGTCATTTGTCCAGTAGTACACTCAGACCAGGACCCCTTCTCATAGCGACAGGCTGCAAAAGTGCAAATGGAAAACAAAAAAATTATTAGTCAAGGAGCAAAAATGCTTTAATGAAGATTAATTCTCGTTTTAACTGAACTCTACGAGTATAATACGTACATTGTATAATATATTAATTAATTAATTTCGGTGCGAAGGTAGAGTGTTCTGTGTAATACAATACTGTTTTGCAAGGCTTAAAAAGAAAGGTGTATGGGTATTAATGAATTTGTATGCTCATATTTTTTGATAGATTGTAGTATTATTTAAAAGGATTTTCATTATATGAATACATTACTTAATAGTAAGAGGAGTAATGACGTCGGTTGAACATTGAATTTATACAATCAATTAATCTAATTAAAAAAGACACTGGAGTGCTCAGCAAAGTAAATTTTATATAAATAAAGTATCGATGGTCGTTTAACACTAAGGGTTTTCAACTTGTCAACTACCATCTTAACTAATTTTATAATTAATATAAATTCTTTTTTCATTATCTAGTACAACTATATCACATTTTTTGATCGATATTAATACAATAGTCTCATACAATGAAATTTTGTGCATACAGTGTGACTGTTTGTGTCACATGCCAACTCTTTCATTAGTTCTTATCAGTATGGTATTGAATCACTCAGTTACTGACCAAATAATCACATACCGACAAGTTTTGGAAACCGCTTAACAACATAACATCGACTCCTACCATCTTTATGCCGATTATAAATATCACGATAGCTCATTAGCTAATACGTCTCTACTTAATGTCGTTCAGGAGTACTCGTAACCTCATGAAAACAGAATTAAATTTCTCAGCAACTCTATCAGTGGAGAAAAGAGTTTCTTTACATCTTTTGACATAACGTGCGGTGATCCTTTAGGCTGTGATTTTTTTCATTGCGTCACTGAAGTAAATATTCGCTAGTCAAGTTTTCATCACAAAAACATAATATTTTAAATATGCCTTAGGTATTTGGTTAAGCTGATGACATCGACATCATTGAGCGCAGCAAACATGATTTTACTTAGGTTTGGTGAGGAATAAGAACAAAGCAAAGTATAGGTCAACAAATAGTAAAAATTTAGGTTATATAAATGGTTGGCTGACAAAAATACTTTCAAAGTTGTTAATGACTTTATCTACCTCACCTCAATTCATCAGAACTATGTGAGACGAATCGGTACCATTGTTTATAAACGTTGCTAAGGACTAGATAAACAATTGAGCTACAAAATTATTCTAAAAACTAACATTTAAAAGGTCACTTATCACTCCTATGCTTCCTTTTGGCGCAGAATGCTATCACGGATGATGAATCAACACTGCAAGTATTAGACGATTCTCCATGATATGTTGACGACTTCTTTATACAAATGAACAATGAATTGTACAATACCTATTACAGCACTGAATTAATATAAATTCATTGAATAATTATTTAGCAGCTTCTTTGAATTAATCATGCTTTGGAGATGAAAAACAAATAAAGTACCTAAAGTGGCAATTGGAGGAAAAAGATATGATCTTCATATTTTTAATAGCGCGATTAGGCAGTAGAAATTATAAAAATTAGTATAAAATGGTATTATTTTAGTGATACAAAGGATGTAGATGACACTACTATGATGTATTCTAACGATGTAGATTTTACCTTACTAATAGAAAAAAAATAAGAGAATTAATAAGAGAATGTTAATTTATATTTATGAGACCATATTGTGGCGTAAAAATAAGCACCCAATGTGATGACGAATTCAGAATACGATGTATGTATATAATTATTTCAATTACTTGTTTTTCTTGTTAAGAGATCTAGTATCTGTGTTTCAAAGAAATTAAAAGTTAGTAAATTGGCAAAATCCCTAACAACAGAACTCACAGAATTATTGTAAGATTAAACTATTAGTTAATTAAAATAATTTGATTAGTATGTATAAATGAAATATTTTTCTTGAATTACGAAATGTAGACTATTCCAAAATATGAAAAATAAAGCAATAAAGCCTGTGAACTGTGGAAGACTGTTTATAACTACACAGGCTCTTCTGGAGACGAACATCTCTACGCTTGAGTCAAACCAAGGCTTATGTGAAAACAATGTCTTATGAATATAATTTACAACGCGTTTTTAATCGATTTCAGTCATGTAGGGGATGAAGAACTGGATAAATAAAGGAAGAGTTAAGGACAGAACAGATCTCTTATTTGAAAAATGCAGAAATTGTAATATTTGTTTGGAAAAATTATGAATGAAGAAACCAGCATTGTAAGTAATAGAACAAATGAACTCAATCATTCTAGTATTAATTTAAAATATGGAATCAAGGTCCGTAAAGTAGAAATAACTGAAAGACGAGTATTATATGCTGATTTTGGTATATTTTAAAAGGGAATATTTTGTATTTAAAATTCTTATAAAAAACTCTGTAAAGTGACCACAAATATTTAAACAAATATTTTCATTTTAAATTTGACTTAAACCCACAATACATATACTTTATAAAAAAAAATGCATTTCACTGCATATATAAAGGTAAAAATATCCGGATAAAAAAATGGTTATAAATAAATGAAAGGAAAATACAAACAAATTTAAAAAAATTTTTAAAGCCTGCAAATAAAGAAAAATATGTAAATTGTGAACTGCATTTATACATATTATATATATACTATATAAATATATACGTATATATACAAAGCTGTATGTGTAGTTGTATCAATGCCATGTTTAAATGTCGTACGGTAATATCTGTAATTTGGATTGTCCTTCCATCAGGATTTACGTTTTGTTAAAAGCCATTTGTCCTTCCAAGTGGTATGCCTGGTTACGTTTCCAACAAAGCGCGTACGAATTTTTCCGATTTTTTGTGCTTAAATTTTAAATGGCACCTTTGTTATTGCAGTTGGTAGTCATATTGTTATGTTAAAAAGAATAATGGAAGGGTTTTGGCCTTATCTTAGTGGCATATATTAACATAAGAATTGCAAACTAAAATGAGACTTGCACAGCAGTGCATAGAGAAAAATTGCAGCAACTCTGCTGGTGTGGCGTAGTCGAATGATGAAGAAATCGTATAGCATAAAAGGAAGAACATCGCCTGCAGAGAAGCTGAGTTATGAAAAAGATTATAATAAAGTATAAAAACTGATAAAACAAATTTCATAAAATGTAAATTGTTAGAAATTTACAAAATTCTGTTTGTTTTTTATAAAAGTACAAAAAGCATGTGATATTATCCACATTACTTTCATGTTCAAAAACTTATAATTTAAGTAAACACTTTTAATGGAGATTATGGTTTTGATATATCACAATTAAGCTTTCATTTTTATGTCTTCATGTATTTAATTATAAATGAACTGCTGTGTTAAACATAAACTTTTCTTAAGTATTAGAATGGATCGCAGCTTATCATTATGAACTTCGCCTATCCAGCAAAAATTGCATTTCCTACATAAAAACATTTTACTCTGTTGGCAGTTGATTGCAGTCGAAGATGTAGAAAATGTTGTACAACATAAGGAACTGATGCCTGCAATATTAATGCAAATACTGGGAACAACATAATCACCGCAATAACAATTTGCAATAATATTGCATTGGTAATAGCAACAACAATAGCAGCAATGAAAACAGCGGAAAGTAATTGCGTTTATAGTTGCAGTCATGCTTAACACAATTTAGCACGTCAACAGAAGTTAAAGCATATTTACATTTACATCCTTTCAACTCAACTATAAGGTTCTATGTGTAATATCCTAATAACACAAGTGCATGCAAGACCCGACACTCGCAAACTGCAAGGAGTGTTAAACTATAGCACGAGAATGAAGTCAAGAGCTGAGGCTACGCTGCTGCACTTTTATGAAATGGCAGGAATAAAAGGAAAATAAAACATTAAAGTGCACTAAAATGAGCCGGAAGTGCACCAGAATACAATGTTTTGTGCACTTGTTTTGTTATTTTGATGTTGTTGATGATGTGGTTGTTGCTGTTGCTGTTGGTGTTGGTGTTGGTGCAATAATAGTTGCTGTTCGTTGCTTCGACATGGCAGGCATTATTCTGCAGTCTTTGACTTTATTTAGTAACAATTTGAAAAAATGCACATTTCATTAATGTGCTGCTGCAGTGGCCATTAAACAATAAGAAATGGCGACCAACTATAAAGCAACTCAACGCGTTTATGAGGCGTTATAATGGCGTTACTGCATTACGCCTTGAAAGGTACTACGTGCTTTCATTTCATGCATTTTTGCTCAAGTTAAACTTCTAAAATTAGTGCCTTTAAAGCAAAATAGCACTTTGTTTTTATAGATTTTGTTTAAGTTTTTATTAAAAAATTTCTAAAAGTTCTTATACTCAATCGTTCATGCAAAAGTTCACCTTAAATGATTAAAGTTAGCAATTGACTTTTCATTTAAAAAAACATTTTTTTTTCTTAATTTCGTTTTTATCAATGGATTTTCTTTTAAACTTTATTGAAATTTTTTGTCGGTAATAAAAATTTATTGAAGTAAAATAAAGAAATCCGAAACTACGAACCTCTAGATCGAACACCGAAAAAAAAATCTGTTATAACTAAAGTTAATAAGCGTTATTGTAGACAAATCTCTTTCGAGGTTGTTAAATGGCACTTGGTCGTCGAAATTGACGAGTGACTCCAGGACGTAGACTTGGTCGTTCTTGAAATAATTCTCACCATTCACAAACTACCCCTTCTCCCTTATTATCTTACTCCTCTCTCTATTAATCATCCACTCTGTTACCATCTTCATCCATCTCTATTACCTACGTAACATATTCGTTTTGTAAAACTTTTTATGTCATCTACGATTAGGTTGCCTCGGGTGACAATAACAATAACCTTAATTGTAATTACAGAAAATTACTAATATCGCAGAAATATTATAAAGACGAGCGAATATAGTTCACATCAATATTTAGCTAAGAAAAAACCGTTTGCAGTTAACTAAAATTAACAACGATTTGTTGGTCTTCTGCGTTTTCTATACACACTTAAGTGACTTTATACCCCTTGATTTCAGCAGTATTAACCAGAGATGTCCGCCAGACAACTCGAACAGTCGGTAGTAACGGCTGTCTTTTATCATTGCTCATAATATTGATAAAAATAATATTTCACAATTGCCTACTGAGCCTGTTGTAATATCTATTGGCAACAGTGATTCTTTGTTATATCTCTAGACTGTCATCATTTTTGGTATTTACGCTGTTTCTCACATAAACAAAGCCGTTCATAGTTTTGAACTTATAGTTCTCAACAGTGCGTGGATCCCAAGAAACCTAGGAAATTTGTTTATTTACAGAAACTACTTTTTTTCTTTTACCAGAACACTAATTTACTATGAAAGCTGAAATATACATGATCAAGAACAGAACATTATTATCTTCGTAGAAAGTCAGGTAGTAATAAAAGCAATTGAATGGTTTAGTCGAGGATCGCAATGAAATATCGCGCCTTACTAATGAATATTACATGCCATCAAATTTGTTTTGTTGAATTTCTGAACGTAGGCTTAGTCGGGAGACACCTTGACATAAACGATAGTGTATGAACTGTTTAGGAACATTGATAAGACATAAGCTTTCTACATCTGTGACGAATAAAGTAGGAACTAATCTCTAGGTCGCTGGGCCTTTGTGTCATAAATAAGAAAAATAAGGCATCTTCTAGGCTACAACAAACTACAGTTGCCGTGCTTACTGGAGTACTAATGAGACACTGTGTTACTGCATCAATACTTTGATGGTGTCGTATTGCAACGAAATGACTATACAAGAGTTGATATGATGAAAAGGAACAGATAACTGTCAATCCATGCCATATTTTTGCTTAGGATTACAGACAAAGCGACTCCAATATCTAGGAAAGTAAATGTATCAGTTATCCTGAATTCATGAGAAAAGCCTAATTATTTAATATGGATACAATATGAGAATATCTCGAAAACAATGTTTAGTATAGTTTATATCTTTCCGTCAGTTTATCCGTCAGTTTATATTATATCATAATAGTAAATAATTGTCTACAAGGCTTATTATATATTTGTCATGGTTTTCTCAGAAAAGCCAAATTCTTTAATATGGATACAAAATGAGGATATCTCGAAAACAATATTTAGTATAATTCATCTCTTTTTGTCAGCTTTAAGAATATCATAGTGGTCAATAGTTGTCTGCAAAGCTTAGTGTTGGTGTGCGCATCAACAGACGCCATTTAAACCTAACCTAACCTAAGTTTTATATCATAAAATTTTTGGATTTTTTTGGACTAACCTAAAAATAATTCTTTTTGGATAAACTTTATTTTGAGTGATGTAAAGAATGATGTACATAATATAAAATGTATATATATATGAATATATATATATAAATAAATATATGTATTTCTTACCTTTTTTGCATTTCTTTTGTATGGTTCGAGTCTGATCGCAAGCTGGATCGCCCTTCTTCAATGTCAACGTTCGTGAACGTGTATTGGTTTTAGTATCGCACTCAGTCCATGGATTCTTACCATAACGACACGATAAGCCTACAATTATATAATTAAACACAAAAAGAGAATTGGTAATTTGGCAATAACAATAAAAATACGTTTAAGAAATCAAAGCTGGAAACCATAAAAAAGCGAAAACATAAAAATTACATCAATCAATTAAATTAATTTGCAATTAAGAGAAATTGTGGTCCATTTGTACCATTTAGACGAAGACGATGGCATGGGAAGGCACATGGGAAGGAGGCAATAAGAAGAAACTAAATTCATTTCTGTACTTAAGTACGACCACACACATGCTTACGTTGCCAACTTCAATTAATAAAAGAAAATGTTTTTCTTTAGCAGTATGCGTGGAGGATTTCCGCTTCTGCTTCGTACCGTCGCACTCACTGTTTCCTGTTGCTGCTGACATGTTCAATTCTTTGGCGTAAATTTAATGACATTTTTATTATTACAATTTTTCGTTATTTTTCCTTTAATTTTTTTTTTCTGTAATTTTTGTTTTTTTTTGTCATTTTGTATTTGGCATTTAGTATGATTTTTTTTTTTGTATACTTTGGCATTTAATAAAACCATAGGACGAGAAGAAGGAGGAGGAGAAGTTCCATTTGGAGACAGGGTATGAGTGAGCTGAGTCACAGAGTAGAACAGAAGACAAATGTTTGTGACAAGTCAGATAAGCGTTAAATGCATAAAGTAAATGGCAACTATAAAAAGCGGAAGAAGGAATATCAAGAAAAGCCAGAGAGCGACATTTTGAAATTACGCCGATGATAAATCGTAATGATTTCTTTCCTACGCTTGTGGTCGTTTGTCAACCAAATAAACGAAATTAATTTATTTTTTTCCTCTCAATATTAATAACCAAAAAAAAAAATATAAATCGTAATGACTTTGTAATTTATATGTAATGTATTTATTAGTGGTGGCCTCGTGCGAAATAATGTCAACGTGGGAAGCAATCTACCTTAATTGCCGTTGGAAACAATAAAAATTTATCAAAATGTTTTTAAAAATTTTAATGTTTATTTAATTAATTTTAATATTTATAATTTTATTTAAATTCGCATATTTATTTCGCTCTTTTTTGTAAATTAATGTCGATTACTTACCATCGCTCTTTGTGCCACGTTCATTGCGTATTAATATTTCATGGTCGTCTTCTTCCCAAATCTCACCCTGCGAAGCTGTTGTCGGTTGTGTCTGTTCGGCGACTGGCAATGCCAATGGCGTCTCTTGTACTTCCGTTGTGCCAAACACTGTCTCTGGCAGCACTGCCAGTGTTGCGAATGCAAGCACTGTTAGCGAAAACAAATGGCAACCCTTCATTACTGTCGTTTCTCACACGTACGTTCCAAGTGACAAAGTTTAAAATCTGTAAATATTAAGCAGAAAAAATAATATGAAGTGTTTTATTTAAAAATGATAAAATATTAAAGTATATTAAAGAAAAATTTGATGAAGTCGCAAATACGTTTTTCTTTCCCAATTATTTAAATATTTAAATAAGAAATGTAAATTGTTTTTGCTTTTCATTATAAAAACTTTAAATGTTCAAATCTGATTGAATACTTCCTCTTGCTCATTTTGCGGTTTCTGGTATGAGGTGCTTAAGTATGTATACGCAGTTATATAAGCGGTATAATGATGTCTGATTGATGAGCAAACTGTTGTCATGGAGATGTCATGGAGCTGACGTGATGATGTTAATACCATGAGAAACGGAATTCTCGTCGGAAATTCAAATGCGCTGGTGGCAAGATTATAGAAGATTATATGCAAAGTATGCTTGATTGATATTGATTTTTGTTATAAAATTTACGTTGAAGATTTCCGTATGAAAAGTGAGGAAAATTTTGACAAGATGAAATGGGAAAATATATAAAAGACAGATGCAATAGTAATAAATTAAAAATGGATTTAAGTCTTTTGAAATTATCTGAGCGAATGAGATCAATTATGTCAACATGATGAGAAAGAAGTTTTAATTATGTTTTCCATTTGCTGATTTATGTTTATATGATACCTTCTATGTTCATTTATTGGTTTTATTTTTTTGAGGAATAATTTCCATAGGTTCGTTAAATTTTCTATAAAATTATCACGAAAAATGTGAGATAGTGTGACATGAACTTTAATTAAAAACGACGTAATGAGTTAACTGAAAAATATAAAGGACATATTAAATTAATAATAATTTTTTTAAAGTTATGGAAAAAACTGTATTCAATATCTAAAAGCTGAAAATAGTTATTGTGAATAACTATTTCCGGGGTTCCGGTTGAGCACAGCACTCTAAAGTGTCAACAAATTTTGAAACGTTTTTGTCTTATCATTAATAAAATTTTGAAAATGATAACATTTTATTAAAAATGTATATAAGCAAATCTATATGTACTTATTAACTTATGCATACTCATTACTACGATGCTGGGAGTCTTTGAAACAAAAGTTTCTTTTAAGATAATTAGTCCTTACAAAGTTGGCGACGACTACCACATATTATTTTTTATTATTCAACAAAGAAATATCCATCGTTTTCGCTGGACACGATTGCTCAAGAAATAAGCAATTCTCTCCAAGTATTTAAACCACCAGTTATAAAAATAGTGGAGAAAAATAATGTCTCATGTGAAATGACTAATCTAAGGGATTGTTAAGTGTATTTAATTCACAGGTTTAGAGAAAGTGAACATGAAGTAAAGGCGCCTTAAGAGAATAACGCGTTAGATTGAAACCCAAAGTCTGTATTTGATGTACGGGTTTAAAGTAAAAGCGGCGAAGGCGCCTAAATGGATACAATATATTAGATCGTAATCCAAAAACTTTATTTAATGTACAAGGTAAAAGAATAAATAGAAACAAGAGGTAGAGGAATAATATGGTAGGTTGAAACCCGAGAACAAGTTGCTAAAACCCAAGAAAAAAGTATATAATTATGCGTTTGACAACTTCGACAAAATTAGAAAGCCATTTTTTTCAGAAATGAAATATAAAAAATCATGATATATATTAGTATCGTTAATAAGAACACACCAATTTTTTACAAATCAGATAACCTACGTTCTTAATTCTCCACTGGAATATTTACAAGGTAATGCGTTTTGTGCTATAATAATTCATACAGATAATTCTGTTATAATTTTCATATTACATACATTTCTAATAAGAATAATGTAAACATTTTAGAATACAGCTACTTAAAACGTAGACAGACTTCTTTATAAAAAATAAATTAATTTAAGATTATGTCAGTCCAGCATCCTCATATGACTTTTATTGCACCAAATCAGGTCTGAAATCTGAAACTAGAGAATACTATATCATATGGTTTGTCAGGAGCATTTTTTTTAAGGGTTTAATAAGGATGTTTTTTCTAGAGAGAGATCATATTATTCTCAGTCTACTACTGCTATCTTCTAATGTAATGATAATTATATAGAATAGAACAATAATAATCTGAAGATCCTGAAGATTAACTCGCTTAAACTTAATTGAAATGCCTTCCATTTACATCAATTGTTTGTCAAAGCAATCAATCTCATAGAAGACTTCTGTTTACTTAATAAGATAGCATATGTTTTATACATTTTTATTAAAATCCAATACAAAAATATAAAAAAATTCCATACTTAAACACCATTTGAATAAACAGGCACCACTTGTAAGTTATAAAAACTAGTAATATGTTCTTACTTCGGTATAATTTGTTAGATAGTATATGTGAAATATACAGGCAGGGGATCTGGAGTATAACAAATCTGTATACTCTTCTTGCGTTCTTACAAAATTATAATCGATTTTATTTTGTCAGAGGAATTTGACGCAGCGCAAAGTTCCACAATTGGCTTAGAGACTAAGCTTTACGATTCGGATTATATAAATAAAAGGTGTTTAAAATCATACAACTTCTCTCAAACTCTAAAATCCTTTAACAGAATTGACTTACAAGCTAAAGTCACAAGACTGGTCATCAACAGAACTAAAATGTTTAAGGTGGACTTAAGAATGTTTGAGAGAATTGTTACTTATATGAAATAATAGCGGAACCCTTGGCTTAGTCACCTGCGGAATACATCGCTAATAAAATTTTTTTATCCCCCAAATATTTAAGAACTTCCGAAAGACATTTAACATTAAAATATTGCTTTTCTTGGCTTTTACACAAAGGTAATACTGACAAAGTACGTCAGCAAAACACTTTAGTCCTGGGTAACAACATTTTTCGCCACTATGCTACCCAGACTGCACTCCATACTTTTTCAAGTCAAAAAAAGAAAAATATGAATATGGCCATTAGAAATAAATTTTAATATATATATTCATAATATATACATATATATAGCGAAATCTGTTATAAGCTTACTTACCATATGGGAAGGCACCTAATACCAATATTAATAATCTTCAAATTTGCCAGCATATAGTACAGCGGAGAGTAAATAATGCTCCTTTCAGGCGTTATCTATCTTATTGAAACGATAGAACGCTTAAGATAATTTTTCACAGAGACTGGAGGGTTCGAATTGTTAAAAATTTTATAGGTTTCAATTTATAGGTTTATAGGCCATTTTAGTACAATCTTGAACCAAATGTTGATATCACCAAATCAAGCAATTTCAAAAAGGTATGCGGTACTTCTTAGTATAACAAATGAATCAATTACTCCATTAAGCTGAATATTTAAGTTATTCAATACACTGGCACATCCACCAAAATTGGTAGAGGTTTGGTGTAGCTTGCATAGCTTCAAGTAAAAAAAAAAATAATCAAAAATAATATATTTGATTAAAACGAAACTTTGATTACTTTAGTTTAAAAAATTAATTTTTAAACTAAAGTAAAAATAATTGAGAACCAACTCCTTTTCAATCTTATTCTATAATTCTTCACTATTTTTGAGTAATAAATGTTCAAGACATTTACACATACCCGCACATATATTTTAAATTTACATATTCAAATATATACTTTAATTTTTTATTAAAAAAAAATCATTTTCTGTCGTTGCCATAATGAAAATGCAGAACACAAACGTTCACATTTAAAATGCACATCAAACGCAGACACAACTCCTGACGAAGCAAAAAGGAGTTTGGCTAAAGTGGTAGGAAGACACCTGCAGAATTTTCTGGAAGAGTTGTTACCTCAGTATTTCCTTTCATTTAAAATGCTTAAATGTGCAAATATGCAAAACAAATGCAGCAAAGCGAAATGGTTTTATGCCTGTGATTATTCAAATTCCTGCCATGCAAAATGTTACCAAGACAATGAGTGTGAGTGATGGGAATACGAATGGGGCTGAGAACGATGGTGTTGTGCTGGTGATGATGATGTATGGTAAAACAATCTGGTAAAGTTCAAAGTGAATTAAAGCTTTGATGTTGATGTTGATTACTTCGAATGGAAATAAAACAAAAGGAAATTTAAAAAAAAAATACGACACAGAAAAATGAGAAAAATATAAAATTAACTTTTTTTTCGTAAAAATAAACACTCATACGCTGTGTAGAACAATTAGTAAAAAAATGAACTAAAATAAAATACAAAAATTTGATTGCCTTTTTTAATTAATGTGAGTACACAATTATTAATTTTATTATAATTAAAATGTTAATTGTATGTTTTCATTTAAATTTTTAATTTTGTTACATTTTAGTTTTAAAACTTTTTATATTAAAATAGAGTGCAACGTGACTAGCCCATTTACTACATTATAATTATTGTTATAAGCTTTTCACATTAATTAACTATTTTATGTTCTCATAACAAATTCTACGATTATGCACTTAAATAATGGCTTTTAATTAGGCAATTTATTTCGAAAACCAGAACATGCACTTTTCCATAACATGACAAAAAAATGTTACTAAATAAGTTATAAAGCTATACAATATTGTTTATATTGTTATATATGGTGGTATATTATGTAAAACTATGTTTTTATATAGAAAGAGTATATTAAATAGAACAGCTTTTATTATAATAATTTTAAATAAATCGTATGAAGTTGATATTTGGCTAATGTAAGCATGCATTTAAACGAGTTGTAAATATACAATAAGTTACTGTTAGGCATTGTATAATTATGTTACATAGAAGCATAGATACCTATTGTACATAATTTTGATATAAAATAGTGTATTAGTAGTTTAAAAATAATACTGTATATTACATGGATGTACAATTAACACTTTACAACCATTAAAAACGTATATATACGTGCTATTTAACAGATACTATAAAAATATATTTCTGTTAAGTTGCGTGTATTTTTTGCATGTATTAAAAAAATTACTTAAATTTACTGTTTATAGCTAATTTTACAATTTTCTACAAAATTTATATGAGCACCAGTCACGATGTTGACAATTC